TGATTCAGCCTTTCCAAGCCATAGTAAATTCTGTAGTTCCCACAGCTTTCAAAAAGCCAGAGTCAGTTTCTATTGCTCACAGCCAAACCCTCTGAGTGGCACAGCTGACATACTAATAAGATGTACCCTGAATTTCACAGATGAATTTGTTCACTGCCTATTTTTATAATTCACAACAAAGACCAAGGCTCTGCTATCTTGTTAGGCTGAAATCAAATGTCAAAGCCCTGCCAGCCACTTAGCCTTTAAAACACATAATTTTAAACCATATCATGCCACTTCAGAATACCTTCAAAGATGGTAGATAATTCTTTTTTTCTTTTTAAAGAATTATTTAACTTATTTTATCTTGACCAGAGAGACAGAGAGAGAGAGAAAGTGAGAAAACAAGCTGCCAGGTTCGGGACTTGAACTTCAGGTGGCCATGTGGGAGTTCAGCACCCCTAACCACCATGCCACCTGCCAGCCCTGATGGTAGATAATTCCTTATAAGTAGCTATTGGAGGGTCAGCCAGTGGCATGATGCTGTAAGCAGCTGGATCCCACATGGCTGACTTCATAGTTTGAGTTCCAGACCCAGAAGCTTGAAAAACATCTGGAATGAGGGCATGTATGCCTAAAATCTCAGAAGGAGAAATGAGAGAGAAGGGATTGTGATGTGGCCAGCCACTCTGAGAAGTGATTTCTCATTTGCTCTCTGTCTCTGTCTCTCTAGCCACTGAGTCCATTCATCCTCTAGCAAACTAAAATAATGAAATGAAGAAGCAGCAGCCACCACCGCCATCCTTACAGTTTGAACTTAGAATCTGGTGACCTTATTTCAGGACATATTATACAGAAATGATCAATTTAATTTAAAATGATATATACAGCATAATTCTGATAGGACAACATTAGTAAAGGAATAAGTATTCTGCAATTAAAACGGAAGACTCTCCTCTTGAAGTTGTGATGCAGGGAAGCTTTTGAAACAAGATGATGATGGAGAGGCCAGGGATAAAGAGGAGGGCACAGAAAATTAACATTTTCAATGAGAAAGCCACATTCAAAATTTAAAAGAGAAGGCTAAGGAGCCATCCACATAAAATTGAATTTGCACTTTGCTCCAGCCAAATAAAAACTATAAAGACATACCCCATGCGACCATATAAATTATAGGAATAAGTGAAGATAATCTCTCTAGGGAGCAGGGTGTATTTTTCTAATTTTTAAAAGAAAAATCATTAGAAACATTGCTATTTTAAATGCAGTTCAGAAAGAAAGTGAAACCCTTGACCTAAGGCTCTACTGGACCCATGACATGTTACAATGTGCCATTGTAATTTATATTCTCATAAATGGTAAAGTTCAATTTCAATACGTCAAGGAAAGTGCTTTGGTCTGGTATGAAATAATAAAAATTCCCTCACTAGGATATTTAATGAAGGTTCCCTCCACCAAATTATAGGAGCACTTTGGTTTAGATTCATTTGGAAATCCAAACCAGAATTCATTAGGTCATGCCCTGGAAGGGTATTCTCCAGAGGAATATAAAAGGCATGGAGGTAGGAAATTAGAGTAACTTAATACTACAAAGAAGTCAGTTACTTTGAAGCAAAGTCAACCAATAGATGTCGAACACAGAAAGAGTACTGATTATTCATCTTCATCTTTAAGGACATTGGCTTCATGAGGAAGATAGGGATCAAGGGAGACACTGGGGACTCGATCAGGTGAAATGCCTTTAAAATCATAATAAACTCAATTTACAAAAAGTTTTACTCCCCCCAAACTTTTTATTAGTTTTTAAAGTCTTCCTACCCCTCAGTAATTTAATTCCCCAAAGAACTATCTAGTTTAAAGACATCATTCTAGAAGGAGAATGGATGATATTCTAATAAAATAACATACTAATAAGATGTACCCTGAATTTCACAGATGAATTTGTTCACTGCCTATTTTTATAATTCACAACAAAGACCAAGGCTCTGCTATCTTGTTAGGCTGAAATCAAATGTCAAAGCCCTGCAAGCCACTTAGCCTTTAAAACACATAATTTTAAACCATATCATGCCACTTCAGAATACCTTCAAAGATGGTAGATAATTCTTTTTTTCTTTTTAAAGAATTATTTAACTTATTTTATCTTGACCAGAGAGACAGAGAGAGAGAGAAAGTGAGAAAACAAGCTGCCAGGTTCGGGACTTGAACTTCAGGTGGCCATGTGGGAGTTCAGCACCCCTAACCACCATGCCACCTGCCAGCCCTGATGGTAGATAATTCCTTATAAGTAGCTATTGGAGGGTCAGCCAGTGGCATGATGCTGTAAGCAGCTGGATCCCACATGGCTGACTTCATAGTTTGAGTTCCAGACCCAGAAGCTTGAAAAACATCTGGAATGAGGGCATGTATGCCTAAAATCTCAGAAGGAGAAATGAGAGAGAAGGGATTGTGATGTGGCCAGCCACTCTGAGAAGTGATTTCTCATTTGCTCTCTGTCTCTGTCTCTCTAGCCACTGAGTCCATTCATCCTCTAGCAAACTAAAATAATGAAATGAAGAAGCAGCAGCCACCACCGCCATCCTTACAGTTTGAACTTAGAATCTGGTGACCTTATTTCAGGACATATTATACAGAAATGATCAATTTAATTTAAAATGATATATACAGCATAATTCTGATAGGACAACATTAGTAAAGGAATAAGTATTCTGCAATTAAAACGGAAGACTCTCCTCTTGAAGTTGTGATGCAGGGAAGCTTTTGAAACAAGATGATGATGGAGAGGCCAGGGATAAAGAGGAGGGCACAGAAAATTAACATTTTCAATGAGAAAGCCACATTCAAAATTTAAAAGAGAAGGCTAAGGAGCCATCCACATAAAATTGAATTTGCACTTTGCTCCAGCCAAATAAAAACTATAAAGACATACCCCATGCGACCATATAAATTATAGGAATAAGTGAAGATAATCTCTCTAGGGAGCAGGGTGTATTTTTCTAATTTTTAAAAGAAAAATCATTAGAAACATTGCTATTTTAAATGCAGTTCAGAAAGAAAGTGAAACCCTTGACCTAAGGCTCTACTGGACCCATGACATGTTACAATGTGCCATTGTAATTTATATTCTCATAAATGGTAAAGTTCAATTTCAATACGTCAAGGAAAGTGCTTTGGTCTGGTATGAAATAATAAAAATTCCCTCACTAGGATATTTAATGAAGGTTCCCTCCACCAAATTATAGGAGCACTTTGGTTTAGATTCATTTGGAAATCCAAACCAGAATTCATTAGGTCATGCCCTGGAAGGGTATTCTCCAGAGGAATATAAAAGGCATGGAGGTAGGAAATTAGAGTAACTTAATACTACAAAGAAGTCAGTTACTTTGAAGCAAAGTCAACCAATAGATGTCGAACACAGAAAGAGTACTGATTATTCATCTTCATCTTTAAGGACATTGGCTTCATGAGGAAGATAGGGATCAAGGGAGACACTGGGGACTCGATCAGGTGAAATGCCTTTAAAATCATAATAAACTCAATTTACAAAAAGTTTTACTCCCCCCAAACTTTTTATTAGTTTTTAAAGTCTTCCTACCCCTCAGTAATTTAATTCCCCAAAGAACTATCTAGTTTAAAGACATCATTCTAGAAGGAGAATGGATGATATTCTAATAAAATAACCCAGTGGTATGTATGTGTCATATAACTATGAGAATTAATTTTCATTCTAGGACTTTGATTCTAATAAATAGAAAAACTTTATAGACTACTAACCAACAGACATTTATGGTAACAC